ATAATTAATCTTTTTCTCTTAAAAGAAAATGGGTTTTAAGAATTTCTGCTTCAACACTATCGGGTCAATGGCATGTGAAACCTGATATTAACCTGATTCTATAATTTGTTCTTCAGTATTTTTTATTTTTTTCCGAAAGATTTCGTCATCGAAAAGTATTTTATTTAAGTTTGATGTAATACTTTAACTTTTAGATTTCCCAGTATCAAAGAAAATATGTAACACTAGTAAAAAGTCGAGCGAAGTTATCAGATGGTAGTGGTAGATTTAAAGATTCTTCTTCTGAATTAGTTTGACCACTGAAAAATGTACTTTTGATTGTAACTGGTTTGTAGGATGATCTCATTCAGTGATATTTCGTATCAATTTTATCAGCGTGTTATCATCAGTTTCACAAGCTGGTATAAAAAAAACTGATTATGAGACTTATACACATCTTCCAAGCATAATCTTCGATCGCGATTTACGTAACAACCCATATTTTTGTACCACTATCAACAAGCAAATCGCTAAAAAATTATATTGAAAGACTTGTTAAGATTCTCTGTCAGCACTGTAAGATGTACTATAGGAAAGAATTTATATCTCGATAAAGCACCGATAGTACTATGTTCCATAATGAGCATAATTCTGTTCCTTTTTGAAGGGCAATTTCTTAGTATGTAAGAAATTTAATACTTTTACATTAACGTAGGCAAAATTAGCACGACATTCAAGATTTTCTAGCCTCAATTCATTTATAAACCTGAGTTGAGTTTAAAACCACTTATGCCAGATCCAGCTGTTCAAGTTCTATCGATTGGCATCTATAATATCATAGCAGTCTTGGCGCAAAAACCAACGATATCGTCTATAATACCATGTTTTGGATAGTTTCATGCTATAATCATATGCAAAATAAAAACTGCTTTACTTACTGATGACATTATACTACCATATAAAAAGACTTTTTTTTACAAAAGCTGAATATTAAAAAGGATCTTACTGAAACTTGTTGTGAAGTTTTACTACGAGTAGAATTCTCTTAAAAACTCTGAAGTCTTCTATATTCACAAATGATTCGTGTACTAAGTACTTTTAATCGCTGAATTAACAAAAAGTGGAGTGTGGGTGTGGATTATAAGAAGAGGCCCCTCACCCACATCCACACCCCACCTCCACCCTTTCATACAAAATTTCAATGTCAATATAAACGAGACTTCATATGTATTTGTGTGAATATGATATAATAGATTACCTAAAAGCCAACTAGTTCAAATAGAATTGCTTGAAATTTGATTTTTCCACAGACATCTATTATCACAGTAAAAAAAGAAAAGAAAAGCATTTTTTCTCTTTTAATTCAAAATGCTTTGTTTTTAATTATTTAAAACTACATTCAGAGTTCACATCTGTTTTTTTTCGATTGAATAATAAATAAAATTCAATCGCATAAATATTTGATACATTTTGTCTGATTTTTAAATATACTTGTAAGTTCATCACCATCAGTTGAGCTGAATTTATATCCAAAACCAAAAGCCGAAGTCTCTGACTAATGATGCTTTCTTTACAATAATTTCACAATTTTTATCGTCAACATTTGCTATCACGTCATAAATACATAAAATGAACTCAATTGTGATAAAATTGAAAGTGAACACAAAATCTTTGACCAATTCGGTGATATATAATTAGGATAAGTAAAAAATTGAAGAAGGCGAATAGAATGAATAGTTGTTGACAATAAAGAATCGTTCAGATAATTAATAATATTGACAAGAGTTAAACTGCGAAGATTGAATAGACATATAGAAAAAGTTATATTCCAATAGGATAAATGGAACATTTCAATACAAGCAGATAATACAACACCAGGTAAAAAACGTATATAGATGTTGACAAAGTTTGACCTGGCGCATCTAATAATCAACTTTTTGCATTACTTATTTTTTTTTCCAACGGCTAGA